CCCTTGTTCTTTGTGGACTTATTTTAATTACTAAAGGTGACCTCTGGAAGAGACATCTCTTACTGATGCCACTTGTTTCTCCTGCCTGAAGCCCCGCACTCTGTCTGTATGACCAGAATGCTCTTTGGCAATGTGTATGCAGCTGTGCTGGACAGCAGAACAAGATGAGTATATGTGAAGCCATCACATGACAGGGGCTCTCTGATGAGGGGGTCATTGTGCCTAACGGCACACAAGGAATGATAGTTTCATCTGACAAAAGTCATAACCCCCTCTAACTTGTTCCCCCCAAAGTTACTATGGCAACAGAGCACTCATCCATTCCCGGGACACACTCCTCTCTTTGTCCCACTGTGAAAAATGCTGCTGTTCCAATGTGATTGAGGGGTGAGGGGGTGGACAGAAATGTGGGGGCGCCCTCCTCTCTATTCAATGAGCTGGCTAGCCTACCCCAACAGAGACACACAGTCCTACTTAAACTAGGGCATGCAGATCGGAGAAGTAGATCAGCTATTAAGTGTTGAACTGGACTTGAAGTTTTGACTGAGCTCGTAAGTATGCTATTATCTCCATTGAGTACTCTGTCATACATCACTATGATACATAGGACAATCAATGTAATATACTACAATTATCAATATATATTCCACTGGGGCAACATTGTCAGATTATAATCCACTGCTCTACACTGGCAATGGAAATACATGAAATGTGTGCTGCATGATGATAATATTATATTATTACTTAGTAGTCCAATTATCTGCATTGTTTCAATTATGTGTGTGCATGTGTATGGATAGCTGGATAGGCACAATTAATCTATAACAGGCAGGATTTATATAGGAAAACCTTTTTTTAGTTTACTATTTGCAGTTTATGCACAAAATTTGTATTTAGAGACTATCTGAATCTTTGATTCCTTTTGACTTATTTATCTATTTAAAATACCAGTACCAGAAAAATAAAGGAGAAATGGAGAATAGATTTTAGAATCTGGCTTAATGATCAATTACAAATAATTTTTAATGATGGGGAAAAAATTACAGCTGGAACAGTGAAATTATTAATGTATTATTATCATTTCAAGTTTAGTGGGTGTGCGCCTACACTATCGTGCTGTTTATTTAATTCCATCTTAAATGTTAATTAGTTAAATAAAAAATAATCTTTTTAAATATAGCAAGCCTGTGCATTCCATATATATCACTCTCAACTATTCACACCTTTTGGAGCAACATCAAAGTCAATAAAGATCACTCCCACCGTTATAGAATTTATAATTTTGTATTATGTCAGAGTTCAAGGTAAGCAGGAAGATATCATAATTGGGATCCCTGATATTGGCAGCTAGTAAGTTACTCACCCTACTGAACTCCACCTGTATCTGAATTGTGTCCTTTTTAGTGGACCGACCATTTAACAAAACAACTCACTCAACAGTATCTTTTTTACACCTTAAAATGATAAAGAATTAAGATTCTTTTGATCGTGCTTCAAAAGTACAACTGGAAATTGATACCACAAAAGAATATGTTGTCTGTAATTAGATTAAGGCCTCATTCACACGGGTGTGCACATCAGTTCGGCGCGCTCAACCTTGCAGAGACATGCTCCCGGGAGGGACAGGTAGCTGTACGCAATTACACACTACACCTACAGGTCTCTGCTCGGCAGTGCATGCCATATGGATGTGCACACCTCTGTGAATGAGGCCTTTACTTGAAGACCTCTACCCAAAACCCCCCAAAATTTAAAAACATTCTTGAGCCAGGCTGGACCACTGATGCAGTTTCAAATTTCACATTTAGACTTAAAGTGACCCTAAATTTAGGAGTTAAATCTTAAAATGCATTATGTACCCTAATTATTAACAAAAAATGTACCTTCTTTGTGCATCACTCGGCAGTAGGTCCTCAAATCGTCTTTGAACACGTGCTGACACTGTCCTTCCCACTGGAGGGGGTTACTTTTGTTCCCCATGGTCGCTGTGTGTTGTAATGTAGTCACCGCTTCAAGCTCACTCCTGTGATGGACTACAGTCTCAATACAAATTAGTAAACTAAACATGAGATTGTAGTCCATCACAGGAGTGAGCTTGAAGCGGTGACTACATTACAACACACACATGGACCATGGGGAACAAAAGTAGCCACCCTCCAGATGGAAGGACAGTGTCAGCACCAATTCAGAGATTTGAGGCTCTACAGCCGAGTGATACACAAATAAGATACATTTTGTTGATAGGTACGGTACTTGAATGTATTTTAAGATTAAACTCCTGAGTCTAGTGTCACTTTAAGTTATCAGAGAGTAGGAAAGTAATTATGACGTGCAAAATATAGTAACCTTTAGTTGTAAATTTGAATGTAATCAGTTCTGACTGATTGTCATGGATTACAGCACTTAGTATTCTTCTTTTTAAACTTTTTTTGTTCTTGTTAAATAAGTCCGATAACAATGAAGGCCTGCCCTGACAATTGTGGTATTGATCAGAAAGGATGATGTATCTGAGAGTATTGGCAAGGTGGTGGATATTTTACTGATGGTGAAGTAGACATGAAAGTGCATCTATAGACAAAATGTTTTAGTTTTGGATAGAGTGGGGAAGGATTATAACACGTCAGGTTTTACTGCTGTCTGGTACTCTGTTAGAGAAGTTTCCTCTTACTCACTGTCCCGGGGACAACCTTTCCCCAGATAGGAAGTGAAGCAAACTTTCCAACAGCAACCCAGAGAAGTAAGTTAAGTGGAATAATGCTAGAAGTTTTTTTTTTAAGCATGTAATTTTTATTGAAAGTTTTCCAATATTACATAACAAGACAAGCTTTGGTGCAATAGTTACGGGGGCAGAGTTGCATGAGACAACAAAGGTAACAAACACTAAATAAAATAAATTGACTAACAGTCTGAAAAGCATCACAATCATCACCAAAACCGCATTGCGCCACTGATATGGGGCATTAGGGGACTGAAGGGCATTGCTGGGGGCCGTGGTAGCATCTACCGGGTGGTATTACGTCAAAGGACATCTAGAGTGTTAGAAGTTTTTTTTATTGTCTGTTTCTCCATTGCAGATTTTCATGCTTTGGACTCATTTTTATTTCCAATACTGTATATTGTAATTTTATTATTATTTTATAACTTGTGTTATAATATTTATTAATCCTGTTAGGTTAAAACTTATTCTATATTACCTAAACCCTCCCAAAGTAACCAGGTCTAAAAAGAATTGCAATCAATTGATATTTTATTACTTCCTTAGCTTTTAGTGCAAAAACAGAGCTGCAAACATTTACAGGTGAAACTCGAATAATTAGAATGTCGTGCAAAGTTTATTTATTTTACTAATGCAACTTAAAAGGTGAAACTAATATATGAGATAGACTCATTACATGCAAAGCAATATAGTTCAAGCCGTGATTTGTCATAATTGTGATGATTATGGCTTACAGCTCATGAAAACCCCAAGAACCCCAAATCCACAACCTCAAAAAAGTAGATTATTACATGCAATCAATAAAACAAGGATTGTACATAGAACAATATCGGACCTCTGATAAGTACAAGCATGCATATGTACTCAGTACTTGGTTTGGGCCCCTTTTGCAGCACTTACTGCAATTACTTTTGCACGATATTCTAATTATTCGAGTTTGACCTGTATAGTGAGCAGTTTAACCCAGAAGCTTTTAAAAGAATGTAGAACCTCAAGCATGACCCATTCCAGTAGATGCCAAACACTGGAATCACAAAGACAGACATATGATCAGGAGCATTTTGCATTTTAAAATGTTGACCATTGCAAACAATTATTGTTTGTGTGTTGTTTGTCCAAGAAAGTTACTATATCATATCCTAGGGTATGCAGTATAGTCAGGCAGGAGAGTCAGTATTACAATGTCCTCATTTAACCACTTGAAGACCGGAGTGTTAAACCCCCTTCCCATCCAGGCCATTTTTCAGTATTCAGCACTGCGTTACTTTGACTGACATTTATTCCGTCATGCAACGCTGTACTGAAATGAATTTTATATAATTTTTTTGGGGACACATAGAGCTTTCATCTAGTGTTATTTAATCACCACTGGGGTTTTTTATTTCTTAACTATATAAAAAAGTACAGAAAATGTTGAAAAATAAACTGTTTTCCCTACGTTATGTTATAAACATTTAATACAAAGAAGCTGATGAAGCACATCTGCTTCACCAGCTTCTTCTCCGGCTAAAGGAGCCGGAGAAATGACAGGCTGAAGGCAAAAGTGATGTAATACACATCACTTCTGCCTTTACAGATTGAGGGAGATCAGCCAGTGGACATCTGCTGATCTCAGTTCAAAGAGCAGCCGTGCCGGTCCCCAAGGAGGAGGGGGGGGGGCACAACACTTGCATGCAACATACAAGTGATAGAGCAGCTCTATAGCCACCTGAACAGTTGTATGTAAACAGCCATTGCCGGCTGCTTAAAATGCTCAGCAGGAAAGGACATTTTAAAATGCCCACCCGCATTCAAGAGTGACCCGTCTGGCCATTTAATTGCAATGGCTGGATGGGAAGGGGTTAAATAATATCCTAAAGTAAATCTTTGCCCAGATTGTGCACAATAAAGTATTTGCATATTCTGAACAAGCAGTAAAAGTACTTTGAAAGAAGGCCTCATTCACCTTTGTACCTATAAGCAATGGGAAGAAATTATTTTTCAAATTCACAGAAAACACAAGCGCGTTATTTTTCTATGAAAGCAGAATCTTTCCAGCCTTCCTTCTACTGACAACAACCAGCAGGTATTTCTAAGCTGGTCGAAATAGACTGAATCCCAACTTCAGCCCCCATTTACACTTGCTTTGATTTTTGCACGTTCGACGTGTAGGGCAACCGATTCATTTATGTGGACTGCCCTAAGCGTGACAAATGTGATTAAAAAAGCTCATGCAGCTGTTTGAGCTGTGAACAGTCTAGCTTACCATGTTTGGGGTGCCATTAACATTGAATGGCATTGGAAGTGCAATGTGTGTTTTGCACGTGTTCACATGATTAATGAGTGTAAATGGGGCCTCAGAGCCTTTGTTGTGATCTTTGAGGATAAAAAGCTTCACATTAAATGCAGCTAGAGCGGTTAGGGGCTCATTTAGTGCTTGCTAAGAAAATATAAATAGTTTAAGTCTATATTCTGGGCACAGGCACACTTATTTTTTCCAGAAACTCCAACATGGTCCACTCCAGCATCCCAGCTCAGGGAGACTGTAAGCATCAAGGCAGAGAATAGAAGAGAGTCTACCTGCAGGAACAGGTCATGGTGGAAGGTCTGATTTACACCCACATTGAATTATAACAAATAATGGGAAGTTTGGACTGTACTATGATTTCTAGATAATTGTAATACACCATACAAAATGTGATTGGCATACAATTAGTTACATTAACTGCTCACTGGTTCTATGCCGAAATCCTTCATTCCAGGCTGAACATTTGTATAATGAGCTCATTGTTAAGATCCGTAGCAATGAGTTGTAAGGAAATGCATGTTCATTTGTGTTATGCCTGTGGACATTTTGCATGATAATAAGGCTTTATGAGCAATTTTAATACCCACTGAAGAGAGCAGAGCTGTCTCAGACGTTTGCAGCCCATTCCATCCAGGGTAGTGAATGGAAGGCTTGCACGATACAACATAAACAACTAACTACATTCATAAAGCTTGGTTTTTCCTAAACTGATCTCTAAGGCCCATTGACAGTACATGTTTTACAGCTAGCCGCACATATGCAGGGATATACTGTAGTACGTTAAGGACTAAATCATGCAATAAAATACCTCTGAATGCGCACACAAATTTTAAGGAAAATAGGAATGTGTTTTTTTTGGGGCTGTGGAAATTAACGATTAATTCTGCGATTAATCGTTAAAATATTTGTTCGATTAAAATGCTTTTGATCGCTAATGAAAAAACTCACCTCTCCGCCGGCTTGCGGGAGTCCCGTCGGAGATCCGGTGAAGTCACGGACATCGACGTTACCGGACTCCTCCCCCCTTCCCCAAGTGGCTCCGTCAACTAACGAAGGGAAGGGGGAGGGGTCCGGTGACGTCGATGTCTGTGACGTCACTGGACTCCTCCCCCCCCTCCCTTCGTTAGCCGACGGAGCTGTGGCCAGGCGTACAAGGATAGCCATAGCAGCACAGGCAAGTATTATGGGGGGCAGTGTCAAAACGCAGCTTTTCCAAAGATGCGTTGCAAAGAAGGTTGAAATATGTAGCTGGATGATTGAGATGTGCAACTCTGCCTCTACCTGTGACAGCTGTCAGTAGCTCAGGGTGGGATCACTGAGTGGAGCCCAATCAAACCATTTGCTATGGGGCCTCGTTGATTTGTGGTTACACCGCTGCTGGTGGCTACACACAGACTTTTAACTGACTCATTTCTGCCCTGCATTTGTTTTAGCAGCAGGTGAGGACTGTGGTGACTTCCTTTGAGTAGATTGCAAGCACGTCTCCACATTGTTCTGTATAAATTGAAAAAAAATAAACCCTGTTTCCTGTATTTGTGGATGTTCACTAATTATCAAATTAGAATAAATGTTATATATAATATTATATTACATTTACCACTGACTAATACAGAGTTGCAATGCAAGCAGATCAGCTAAAAGTAGTTGGCTCTGTATGTGCGTTATAATTAATCGAAATTAGTCGATCAATTGATTTAAAAAAAAATCGATTAATTGAACACGAACATTTTAATCAGTACCAGCCCTAGTTTTTTTTTCTATTGCTATCTCTAAGAAAGGTTGGTACTGAAGATGTTTTCTACCCACCCCTAAAGCCATAACAATGCATGGCCAGGCAATCCAAATGTATCTATCTCTATATCTATGGGTAGCTTTATTGGGATCCCAATGCAGTTATGAATACATGTATAAAAATTAAGAACTAATTGAAATGAATGCCAAGCACTACTAATTAATGTCCCTCTTTTTTTTTTTTCTAGTGTTTTGCTTAAAAAAGTTGGTGAAGATGAGTGGTTCACAAAACAAAATGTTTACAAATTCCTCTGTATTGGTTTTGGTGGATCCATGTGTACAGGAAACTTGGTTGGAGAATGCTCTTCTGTCCGTCTGCTACCTGATGGGCCTTTCTGTAGGAGGTCTAGGAAACATCCTAGCTCTCTCATTGTTTGTGCGAGATCGCCAACCTAAATCACCATCTGACATCTTTCTCTTACATCTTGCCCTTTCAGACCTCTTCCTACTTCTTAGTCTTCCCAACAGACTCTTCTACCATCTCTCAGGAAATAGTTGGCCTTTTGGCTCACTGGCTTGTAGACTGTCTGGCTTTGTTTTCTACCTAAACATGTATGCCAGTCTTTATTTCCTAGCAGGGATAAGTATTGATAGGTACTTGGCAATTGTCCACCCTCTCAACTCTGTCAAGATCCGAAAGCCCTTACACGCTCATGTTGCATGTGGCTTCTTGTGGGCTGTTGTTGCATTTGCTACAGCCCCATTACTATTAGGCCGGAGAGCATCAATGGAAGATAATGTTTGTCGTTTATTGTATCGGGAGACACCATCTTTGCGGGCACTATCCTCTCTTTGTGCAGCATTTGCCATCCCCTTCTTGGCCACAGTGATTTGCTATGGACTTATTTTAAGGCGCCTTAGAAAAGGAGGTGACAGGAAACCAAAAGAGCGTGCCGTGAAGATGGTTCTACTGGTCTTAACAATATTCCTGATCTGCTTTGTTCCTTATCATCTGAGTCGTACGTTGTATCATGTTTTGATGCCTGGAGGTGAGAGCACAGACATACCACCTTCTTGTGACTTAAGGCAAGGTTTGGCGTTGGCTAACAGATTTACTTCCTGCCTTAGCACCCTCAATGCTGCCCTAGATCCATTGGTTTACTTCTTTGCTGTTAAGAAGTTCCGTCAGAGTCTTGTTCAGTTTCCATGCAGGCGGGGCAGGAGAGACACTGGAAAAAATCGTGAGGAAGGCCGAACAGAGGACAGCTCACTCAGTGCCAAGACAGAAGTATAACAGGAAATTAAGAAAGGGTTAAAAAAAATAAGATTGCAGATGCTTGCTAAATGACAGTGTTGAAAAAGAATCAAATCACTTATATTATGTGTATTGTCCTCAGACATTAGAGGAAGAAAGAATGAAAAAGACCTCATTACTGGACAGTGAAGACTGAAAAATCACCTCCTGTGTTAAGTGTTATAGGCTTAACAAACTGCAAAGACCAATCACTGAATGTATGCCTTCAACTAGTACTCTTCAGAGGGAAGACAAGACCCACTCATGCTACAAACATGTCAGCCAAATCCTACATTCAACAAACAGAGATATCACCTTGGATGTGCTACCCAGTTTTTTGGGGGGTTTTTTTGCACGCTGCACAGAAGTCAGCATAAAATGCATTGAAAATAAAACTTAAATCTTACTAAGTCATGTTATGTGGCAATAATGTCATAACTAATAGGTGCCAGTAGCAAATATACCATCATAGCAGCCTATAAGTCTACTATGGGTCCTTGG